GATGCGGGGCTCGATCCCAGGACCCTGGGATCATGACCTGAGCTGAAGGCAGATGCTTAATTGACTGAGCCACCCAAGTACCCCCATGGAATTAGTAATAATTTTTGAGGATATGTGAAATTATTTCATGTTCTTATGTTTTAATTAATATTGGGTGGGAACTAGAAATTTATATATTATAAAATAGCAAAAAGAGTAAGGGCTATAGGCACCCCTACTTCTACTATAAGTGGTCCTCAGATAAATGCTTATGTGGATAAAAATGATCATTTCCTCCAAGTGTTCTTCTTCCTATTGAGCCTATTTCATACTCCTTGGAAATGTAAAGATCCGTTCGCAGGCTGCTTAACATCAAGAAATCTCCTTCACTTCAGGTGAAAGAGGGAGTAGATGAGGCAGAGAGGGTTGAGGTCAGCAGCTCTTGGGCTTTTCTCCAGCCATGGTTTTAAAGGGAGCCAGCCACAGTCAAAGATAATAGCTAATTAAAGAGATCCATGAGGTGCAGTTGCATTGCTGCTCCCCACGGACATAAATAGCCACTGCACATGAAAGAAGTGAAAAATCAGTAAACAAATCTTTCATCATGCAACTGTGTTCACTTGGTTGAGACTTTAGAGTTTTGTTTGGCTTTGAAAGGATGTTTTTGCATCAACATCAAGTTCTATGTTAGTTTGACCATCTTGTTCAAACATGAGAGTGGGAGGATCTGTTGCCATTGTGCCCACATTCCATCTGGCTGGGATATTGATCATTTTGCTATTACCTTTTTAAATGAATTAACCTAACATTTATCGGATACCAACTATGTGTAAATTACTGTGACTGGGGTTAGGAATATGTAGATAAGACACGTTCCTGTCTGGAAGGTGCTTATGATATAGTAGCTCAGCAGACACATAAATAGGCATTATAATCAGTACAGTGTAGAGCCTGCAGTGAGAAAGGTATCCACAGCTTGCTATGGAAACTTGCAGGGGTGAAAATTCATGCTGGGAACACCTCTTTTCTTGGAGGTGGTGATATTTGAGCTAAAGTTTGAGAGCTGAGTAGGTGCCACCCAGGTGAGCTAAGTGAGAAAGGGAATTTTAGCAAAGGGAGCAATGGATGAAAGCATGGAAGAAGATGGCACATTAAGAGACCCAGAGAACTGAAATTAGTTTAATGTATCTAAAGCATAATGTGCCAGGAGGAAGTGGTAAAAATGAACCTGAACAGGTGGGCAGGAGTCAGATCTTGAGGGGCCTTGAAGGTTTGGCCTGTATTTCAGAGGGATCTCTCCCAGCTGTAGTGTGGAGAAAAAATCAGAAGGGGTAGGACTGGCAGCAGCAAAGCCCATTAAGAGTTTTTCAGTAACCCAGGTGAAAAATGAAATGATGGCAGTGAGAATGTAGAGGAGAGAAAGACTCAAAGACTTCGATATGGTGAGCGATGAAGAGGGAAACATCAAGGGTGACAACCAGGATTCTAGTACTGGCAACTGCATGAACACTGGTGCCATTTCCTTGAGACTGGACATATTGGATGAGGCACAGATTCTAGGGGAAAGGTGATGAGTCTTGGGCATGTGGAGGTGAAGGTGTTGATAGGACATAAGTGGAGAGAGCAGAGCTGATGGATCCAGGTTGAGATCTACATCTCCTTGCTCCAAAATTCATGTTCTTCTCTCCGAAGTGAGTACTATCATTGAAACCAAGAAGGGAAAAAGTCGCAGAAAGTGTTGGGCAGGAGCCTATATGGCAGAGGTCAAGGAATATCAGGACGAAACTTCCTTGAATTTAGCTCTTAGCTGATTAATGACATTGGCAGAAGCTGTTTCACTGGAATCCTGGAGGCAGGTTGCAGGAGTCAGAGGTGATGATGTGGAAGCAGTAAGTCAGCAAATGTAGACTCCTCTTTCTGTAAGCCTGGCTGAGAAGACCAGGAACAAGATATGAGAATTCTAGAAAGTTCTTTTTAAAGAAGAACTTGAGTATGTTTCTGTGGAGCTGCATAGGGGAGAAGCTGGAGATAATTGGTACAGAGAGTTGATCCCCTCGGAGAAGGGTGACCTAGAGAGCACTTGGTGGACTCACCTTTATAGGAAGATATTTCTCCCACTAATTCCATAGTGAAAGAAGTGAAAAGAAGTGCGGCTGCTCCTAAGTTTATGGGGGAGAAGACAGCAGAAGAAGCTGGAGGAGGGGTATACTTGCCTGATAGCTTCTATTTTTTTGTGATCCAGTGGAATTCTGAGGAAGAGGGTAGTAAGGTGCTTAGGGAAGGTGGTGAAACTTGTAGGGGATGGAAGAGCGAGTTACTTAGGAACCCGTGGAAGGATTTGCAGGGAGTCGAAGTTGGGGGCTGTCAGTATACAGAGGTGGTAGCCTGCGTGGGGGTATTATTTTCTCCACCAGTGCTCAGGGCCTGGGTGCAGCAGCTGATAATTCACATGTCTTGGTTTATCTAGGGATGGACTTTTGCTGTAGAGCGGGGAAAGTGGTGTGTCTCAGTACTAGAGGTCAGAGAGTTGAGGTTATTGGCAGGAGAATGGTTTATGTGATGGATCATGAGTGTAGGGAGAGAAGTGAGGCCAGGAGTTGGCTGGCAGATGGAGAGAAAATGAAGGGGTTGGGGAATCAAAAGTTGCAGTGAGGTTGAAAACCTAGCGAAATAATGATGAGTAAGTGAGAGGGGAGGATACAGCTCAAAAGTGAGCTATGAAGGTTAAGATTTCTGAAGAGGAGCAGCTGCAGACAATGGGAAGGTATGATATGTTGGATGGACAGTGACGTTGCCCAGATAGGCTCTTTAGGGGATGGTGAGGAAGACTGAGACCCGGGTGCTAGTGACTGATGGCCGCCATGAGGTTGGGAAATGACAGTGTTGAGGGGGGGAGGGTGGTCTGGGTAGATAGCATGGGTATCAAAAGAGTAGAAGACACCTTAGATATCACCCTTAGCAACATATTTATGGATATGTTTCCTGAGGCAAGGGAAACAAAAGCAAAAAGAAACAATTGGGACTACACCCAAATAAAAAGTTTTTGCATAGCAGAGGAAACTGTCAACAACACAAAAGGGCAACCTACTGAACGGAAGAAGATACTTGCAAATGATACGTCCAATAAGGGGTTAATACCCCCAAAATATAAAGAACTTTTACAACTCAACACCAAACAAGCAATCCAATTAAAAATGGACAGAGGATATGAATAGACATTTTTCCAGAGAAGACATACAGATGGCCAACAGGCCCATGCAAAAATGTTCAGCGTCACTAATCATCAGGGAAATGCAAATAAAAACCACAATGAGATATCACCTCACAGTAGTCAGAATGTCTAGTATGAAAAAGACAAGAAATTATGAGTGCTGGTGAGGACGTAGAGAAAAGAGAACCTTTGTGCACTGTTGATGGGAATGTAAAATGGTGCAACCACTGCAGAAAACAGTATGGAAGTTCTTCAAAAAATTAAAAATGGAAATACCATATGGTCTAGTAATCCGCTACTGGGTATTTGCCCCCCCAAAAATGAAAACACTAATCCTAAAAGATATATGCACCCTTATGCTTATTGCAGCGTCATTTACAATAGCCAAGATACGGAAGCAACCCAAGTGCCCATCAATAGATGAATGGATAAAGAAGAGATGGTGTAAATATACAATGGAATATTACTCAGCCATAAAAAGGATGAGATCTTGCCATTTGTAACAACATAGATGGACCTAGAGGGCATTATGCTAAGTGAAGTAAGTCAGACAGAGAAAGACAAATACCATATGATTTCATTTATTTGTGGAATCTAAAAAAACCAAACTAACAAAAAACAGACTCTTAAACACAGAGAACAAACCAGTGGTTGCCTGAAGGAGGTGGGTGGGGTGGATGGGCAAAATAAAGGAGATTAAGAGGTATAAACTTATAAAATAAGTAAGTCACAGAGATGCAATAGGGAATATATAGAGTAGAAACAGCATAGGGAATATATATATATACATATTTGTTAAAAGAGTAGAATTTTTATATGGAGGTGAAAGAGTTAGTTGAAAATGGCAATCAGGAATGAAGAGAGTGAGGAACACTCCCAGCTGCTGGTCCTGTTTGCTTATAAACAAAGTATGTATCACAGCTTCCACCCAAGACAGTGGGCAGTGCGAGGATGGGTCAGGGACATGACACACAGAACTGGTGCTGGTAAGACTGTGCAGAAAAAAGGGACAGGACAGGTGACTGGAAGGGCTTGAAGAGTGGACAGTGACAAGGAGAAAAGAGAGGTTGAGGGTGGTGGCATTAGCTGGTCCCAGGTTCCCAGGTATTTCAGTGGCAGTGCCGGCTGAGGCCCCAGGTGACGTCTGAGGCTTGGTGAAACAATTTGATGACCCCGGAACAAACCGGTTGGAGAGAGCAGGGAAGAAAAAGACAAACCAACGTCCCTTGGAAGGAAGCAAGGGGAGTGGACAGCTGGAAACCAAAGAGTGAGAAGCAGAGGCTTCAACCCCTCAGGAAAGACAGTTCCTGGATATTAGAAGGGAAATGTGAGTTGTATTACATTGCCTAAAGACTGATTTTGACCAATTAATTTCTCAAGATATAAAATTTAGGTACAACCTACCCGAATTATTTTGCATGGCAGGTGTTATTCTTGGTAAGAATTTCCCGATGTGCATCCCAAAGGTACATTTAACTACAGATATCCCGTGTTTACCTTATCTTAAGCAAAAACCTTGATTTTTGCCTTGAAACTTTGCTTATGCTGCTGCTTTGTGGAACATCTGAGACCCGTGTCAGCAGGAGCTGGTGAGCCCAGGAGTCACCCTGGTTGTGGCTCACCTCTCTGTGGGCCCTGTGTTTTGGTCTGGCTGAAGCTGCCAGCAGGCACGCGTGTGTAAGGCCAGAAATCCTAGTCCTCGCTTATTCTTTCTTGAGCTGCTAGAGAATCAGAGCCAGCCACTCCGAACCTTAACACCGCGCAGAGAGACCATATAGAGAACACATCTTTGTTCTTCCTTTTCTCGTAGCTTTCCAGCCATCCAGCGCGTCTCCTCTTCCGCCCCAGGGTCCGGGGAAGTCCAACAACATCGTGACCGTCACTGGGATTTCGCTGTGCTTGTTCATCATCGTCGCCACCGTCCTCATCACGCTGTGGAGGAAGTTCGGCCGCGCCCCCAAATGCAGCACGCCGGCCCGGCACAACTCCATCCACTCCCCAGGCTTCCGGAAGAACTCGGACGAGGAGAACATCTGCGAGCTGAGCGAGCAGCGCGGGAGCTTCTCGGACGCGGGCGACGGGCCCGCGGGGCGCCCCGGGGACGCGGGCATCCCCCTGACGTACAGGCGCAGCGGGCCGGTGTCCCCGGAGGACGACGCCTCGGGCAGTGAGAGCGTGCAGTCCAACGCCCAGAAGATCATCCCGCCGCTGTTCAGCTACCGCCTCGCCCAGCAGCAGCTGAAGGAGATGAAGAAGAAGGGCCTGACGGAAACCACCAAGGTGTACCACGTGTCTCAGAGTCCCCTGACGGACACGGCCATCGACGCGGCCGCCGTCCCCGCCCTGGACGTGGAGAGCCCCGAAGAGGCTGCAGCCAACAAGTTCCGGATCAAATCCCCGTTCCTGGAGCAGCCAGCCGTGGGTGCCGCGGCCAGGCCCCCCTGCAGGCTGGACCTCCCCGTCTGTCGCGCCAGTTGTGCCGTCAGCCCCAGCCAGACGGTGATCCGCAAGTCGGCCATGAGGCACGTGGGCGGCAGAGGGGCGCCGCCGGAGAGGAGCCACCCCAGGGGCTCCCACTTCAGGAGGACAGCGAGCTTTCACGAAGCCAAGCAGGCCCGGCCGTTCCGGGAGAGGAGCATGTCCACCCTGACTCCACGGCAGGCTCCGGCCTACAGTTGCAGGACGCGGACCTGGGAGCAGGCGGAAGACCGATTTCGGCCTCAGAGTCGAGGCGCTGCCGCGTTTCCTGAGAAACCGGACCATTCCCAAGGGGCAGGTGCAACCAGGGGTCCATTAAGCCCTCCCCCTAAATCCTACACCCTGGGGCAGCCCGCGAGGAAACCAGACCTCGGGGATTGCCAGGCAGGATTCGTGGCAGGAGGTGAGAGAGCGGAGCCTCCCAGAGCTCGGAGGGGCCCGTCCCCCAGTCACAGGAGTGTCCCAAGGAAGCAGCCGTCCCCCACGGCCCCCAAAGATAGCTACCAGAGGGTCAGCCCTCTGAGCCCGTCTCAGTGTAGAAAAGACAAGTGTCAGAGCTTCCCAGCCCACCCCGAGTTCGCCTTCTATGACAATACATCCTTCGGCCTCACTGAGGCAGAGCAGAGGATGCTGGACCTCCCCGGCTATTTTGGGTCAAATGAAGAGGATGAAACCACAAGTACACTCAGTGTGGAGAAGCTGGTCATCTAGACCCAGATCAACCTGAGACTTCACACAACTGGGGTCCTTTGCCCAGCTCCTGGTATCAGCTGCTCACAGTGTTCTGTGGACTGAATTATGTAGCTATTTGTACATTAGGATTGGGTGGGGAGGAGGTAACTAAAGTGTGTGTATGTGTTTTAATTCATAAGGAAGAAGTTACTTATCCTGAACTTTCCCCTTTGTTATCCCAGTTCTCTTGGCTTATTACTAATAAGTACAATAATAAAATTTAAACAAGAGTGAAATAGGGCTTGGTGTCTCATGTGGATGTGAAAGAGGGCAAATGTGACTTCAAGTATGAAGTGCTTTGAACACTTTCTTGGCAGTGTCCAACATGGAGTAAATTTGGGAGTCTCCACAATAATATGGGCGGGAACAAAGTTAACTTGTGAACACAGCTCTGAATTATCATTTATTAAGTTATAAATACTTAAGAATTGGGCACCTGGGTGGCTCAGTTGGTTGAGCGACTGCGTTCGGCTCAGGTCATGATCCTGGAGTCCCGGGATCGAGTCCCACATTGGGCTCCCTGCTCAGCAGGGAGTCTGCTTCTCCCTCTGACCCTCCCCCCTCTCATGTGCTCTCTCTCTCTCATTCTCTCTTTCAAATAAATAAAT